ACACACACACACACTGCACCCCTGACACTCACAGCACCCTCACTCACACACACTGCACCCCTGGCACTCACATCACGCTCACACACTGCACCCCTGACAGTACCGTCACTCTCACACACACACTGCACCCTCACTCAAACACAGCACCCATTACTCAGACACAGCACACAGACACACACACACACACTGCACTCATCTTGCACACACACTACACCCCTAACAAACACATATTGCTTTAACACACACAGCACCCTCACACACACACATACACTGCACCCCTGACCCTCACAGCACCCTCACTCACACACACTGCACCTCTGATACTCACAGCACACATACACACACCCACACACTGCACCCCATCACAGCACCCTCACTCACACACACACACTGCACCCTGACACTCACAGCACCCTCACTCCGCAACTGGACCTGCCCCTGGAGCTCGCAGCGCCCTCTCACACACGCACTGCGCCGACCTCCTGGCACCCGCCTCACACACCTCACAGCGCACATACATACCGCACACACCACACTGCACCCCTGACACTCCACAGCACCCTCCACACACACACACACACACACACGCCCCTGGAGGCCTCACAGCACCCTCCTCCACACACACACACTGCACCCTGACACTCCCACAGCACCCTCACTCACGCACGGCACACACACACACTGCGCCCCTGGGCTCACAGCACCCTCCACACACACACACACACACACACACTTCAGACACACACACACTGCACCCTGACACTCACGGCACCCTCACACACACACACACACACACTGCGCCTGGGAACTCATAGCACCCTCCACACACACACACACACCTGCACAGGCTCACAGCACCCTGCCGCTGGGCCACCCCGGCCTCCCAGCACCCTCCCACTCCACACACCCACTGCACCCTGGCACTCCACAGCGCCCTCACACACACACACACTGCACCCCTGAGCCTCAGCACCTCACTCCTGAGCATACACACACACTGCACCCCTGATACTCACAGCACCCTCACTCACACTGCACCAAGGCTAGAGTTCACTCACCACTAGCACCACCAGGGATGGTAGGAGCCCGATCCCCCTCCCAGGCTAATCACTCACACACACACTACACGTTGACAATCACAGCACCCTCACTCATTTGCACACACACACACACACACACACTGCACCCCTGACACTCACAGCACCCTCACAGCCCCCTCACTCACATACACTGCACCCCTGACACTCACAGTACCCTCACTCTCACACACACACACTGCACCCTCACTCAAGCACAGCACCCATCACTGAGACACATCACACACACACTGCACCCCTCACACACAGCTTCAGAAGGGAACTAAAATGGTGAATCACATTGTTATGGAGAATATGCAATGCACATTAGTAATCTAACCAATGTTTGTATCAGACAATCAATTTTTTTGAGAAATTGTGTCTGAAGTTTGTTTTTTTATATAGATAATTATAATTCACGTAACTAATTGCACGTGTGTAGCACAGAGTTATATTTTTGGTGTTTTAGTTACTTCAATAAATTGTTTTTGGTATTGTTTGGTATTGTTGTTCCTATTCTAATCTTTTTCGCAGCATTTTTCTACTCTTTCTTTTCTGCTTTTTATCCGTAGTTCAACAAAAGAAATTGAGATGGCTCATAGGCTGGTGCTTATTTAGGTTTTCTTTTTTTGTGTGTTTTGTATTTTTTTACTTTTTCATAACTATTTTGCTTTAAGTTGATTGGGTAATATCTCCTATTATATTATATTATATTTTATAATCTCTCAAATAAATATTCTTGGTTACTAAACATTTACCCAACTATACTTTGACATTTTCTCTATCACTTTGGAACACACAGAGCTGATTCATTCATTTATTTTTTTTATTTTATTTTGATTTTTTTTTTGTATTTTTTTTCTTTCCTCGGGTAACACTAAATCTCTGTAGCTCCGCATTATGAGTAAAGAAATGCTTTCATGAATTTCCCTGAAAAAAAAAAAAAAAGGAAAAAAAATCAATCCCTCTATGTACAGTGGCTAGATCACAAGTTAACACCTATAATCTAATTTGCCAAGTTAGAGAGCAAAAAATGAGGAAGGAAAGCTCTAGAGAACTACGAGAGTAAGGTCGCTATAGCTTACACGAGAGAGAGGCTTCGAGTCAGAGAAGACCTAAGATCTGGCAGTCACTTTGGGAAATTGCATATGTAGCTGCCAAAAAAACAATCTATTCCGTGGAATACAATTTCTCTTGTGGTGAATAAGATTTACCGCTTAATATTATAGAGTGTGTTCGTGGCCAGTACACGATTTTGTTTGCCACTAGTTTTTGCCTTGAACAGAGAAGTGTTTCAGAACTATATTACTTTTAGCAGAGCATGTATCGGTTGCAAAATTAAAGCGATTCCATCTGTACCATATTTCTCTGTTTTTTCAGGTAATTAAAAACAGCACATCACTTTGTAATTATAAGGAGAGGACATAGCAAGTTGCTTTGGGAAATTGACTAAGAAAATACACACAAGTGTTTTTGTTTTTTTTAACCTTTGCCTCATAAAACAGGATGAATTGAAAAAAAAAACCCTGACAAGTATTTCCATATTTCTGAAAACAGGTTTAAATGGTGTTGAATGGATTTGATTATTTCTTTCTCTGGCTATCATATGCTACTTCAACGGTCTGGTTCGCTGGTGTAAAGATAAAAGGAGAATCGTACATAAAAACTTGACCACTTTATTTGCAGAAAAAGATGTCAGGTGTTCTACAGAAGGTTTGGACCACAGCGTTTATCCTTGGATTCATGTGGGATCTGGCTAATGGGAGCTTTGTGAAAAATCACATTCGCTCGAGTTTTATTCAAAGAAAACTGAGTGGCAGGGAAAAACGTGAGATGCAGAGGGAGATTCTCTCCATTCTAGGACTGCCTGGAAGACCCCGACCCACGGGTGGGGGCCAGTTTCCTTCATCGGCCCCTCTCTTTATGCTGGATCTTTATCATGCAATGTGCAGCGAGGAAGAAGAAGATGGGACTCAAGGAGTGTCCAGGGCTCTGTTCACATCCTTAAGCACACAAAGCCCCCCTTTGGGAGCAGTGATTAGCGAGGCCGACACTGTCATGAGCTTTGTCAATATGGGTAAGCTTAACATTAATCAATACTACAAATAATTACTGATTAATTGATTTATAAAATATTTTACCAGGATTGATACATTGAGATTTCTCAAATTTTTAAGTATGCCTTAACACATTTAAATAGATGTTTAGATTTACGGACATTGTCAGATGATCCACTTGCAATTATCTGTACACTACTAGCAATCAATTACTACACATAATTTGTCCAGTTATCTATTGTAAAGGTTTAATTAGTTTCCTAATTTATTTAAATGCATCTCCATACTGTCTTTTAAAAGATATCTTTGTGGAATTATCTGCTTGCATTTGGAATATAATTTTATATTATCAGTATTTTTAGAATAGACACAGTAAAATATATCAGCTGAAATTATTAGCAGACTACAAGTACCTTAATTCTTTGACAATCAACTCTTGTGTTTCTGACTTACAATGGTATATTAGTGTTGATGTCTGGTGGGGAAAACATTTTTTTAAACTCTTTATTTCATTGACAGGAGTTAAAATACATGTAAAGCCAATAGAATATAACGGGAAAAAGTGCAGTACAATTCTGTCAGATTTTGGATAGATTGTTGAGGTGTTGGGGTGTTGGGATAATGCACCGAATTATCAGAAAACAAACTTACTGACAAATATGCAGTTTAATGAGAAATATTGCCTGTTTTAATAGGGTTTCCAGACAGATAGAAATTAGGAAAAATCTTGTTAATCTCATTAAAATAGCTAACACAGTATTATTCTCTCAGATGTTGCTGCAAACAGTGACATTTTCAATACTAAAATGTCCCTAGTCAAAACTCTATCCTCTTTAGAAGTTCTTTAGAACAGTCTTTTTGATTTAAAACAGACAGCAAGGAGTTCTACAGATCCTCTTGGTCTTCCCTATATAGTTTGCAATTTATTGGAGGGGCACAGGTATTATAGCTTTATTACTTTTATGTTTTCCATCTGTGTGTGACCGAGAGTAAATGAAGAAACATGACAGTTGTGGACCACTAAGGGTGTTTGGGAACTGATAACAGGTAGTTTAAATTTTAGCCACAAACAACTCATGCTTGTGAGGTTCTGCTGACAACGACAGACACACTGACAGATTATTTGTCCTGATTTTAAAATTCAACAACTCTAGCAAATCACATCTGCATTCAGTAAAAGAGCTATTCTCTAATTCGGAATAGAAAAACGGAGGTACAAATAGCTAATCTGGATAAATTCACCATCTCAGCCATTGTCAAAACTTGGCTATTTTTGCCTCAGTTTTGCCATTTGGGTTTTATATGTGGAAATATTTTCCATTGTGTGAATAATACTTCTGTTGAGCTTATAAATTCTATAAAGTTAACTGAATAATGAAGACTAGCGTAGAAAAAATGAATTAAGGAATGCAATCAGTGCCCAAAAAATTACAGCACACATACATACACACACACACACACTGCACCCCTGACACTCACAGCACAACTCGTTTTCCTGACACTATATCATCCTTAGGACCCCCCCACCCTCAGGGCCCCCCTCCCTTGGTGCTGAAGGAGTTAAAACCCCTTCAGTCACTTACTTCAATCCAGCGCCAGGCTCCCTTGGAGCTGGTGACCTCTCCTCCCCCGCCTACGTCAGCTCCCAGGTGGAGTGGAATGCGCATGCATGGCATGCGCTGCGCGCGCAGTCAAACACTCCATAGGAAAGCATTTCTCAATGCTTTCCTATGGACGTTCTGCATGCTAAATGCGATTTTCACATCCAGCGTTGCAGAAGCGCCTCTAGTGGCTGTCAGGAAGACAGCCACTAGAGGTTGGATTAACCCTGCAAGAGAAACTGCTAGGTTTACATCTGAAGGGTTAAAACCTGTGGGACCTGGCACCCAGACCACTTCATTGAGCTGAAGTGGTCCGGGTGACTATAGTGTCCCTTTAATATTGACTGATAAATATGAAGGATTACTCAGGCACCTACTCAGATTGTATAATGTATTTTAACATTTATTTTACTAGTTTAAATATTCAGAGTGTGCTTTCTAATATGTAGATGAAAAAAGGTGAAGGTAAAATGGGATATGCCATGAAAATGGTACATGGGGAGAGAAAAGAAGAATATATGGCAGGTGGAAAAGGAAGAAAAAGTAGTTTGAATGAAGTGGGATGGGGAAATGTGGGCGAGATAAGTAAGAGGTAAATGGTGATGGATAGGGAGGGAGGATTAAATCAAGGGCTGTGAAATGATGAGAGAGAGATGAGAAGTAATGGAGAGGCATATAGTAAGTCAGTGATACACAGCAATAAGCAGTAATGTGTATGTTATGTTCAACTTTTTTCCTGTCCACTGCACCACCACAAAAACTGGTATTTTCCTTCCTGGGTTCAAGCTCTTGGTTCACCCCCAGGGGTCAATAATGTCTTTAAAGAGACACTCATGTCTCCTGAAGCACTATAGCTTGCTGAACGGATTTACAGGTTAACTGCATGTCCCCGCAGGCTTATTTAATAAAAGTGGCTATTTCAATCACTTTTATAAATCCCCTTAGTAATGCCTGCAGGCTATGAAGCAGGCAGTCAAAAGGGTTTCCTGCCTCACTCTCTTTGAACAAGTTCAAAAGGTATTTGAGTGCTTCTCATAGAAGAAGTGGTTCTTATTGAGAAGCATCTGACTGGACACAAGTCATCTGTAATGAAGACTTCATAGCATGAGGATCAAAGCTGCAGAAAAGAGACTCCCCTAAAAGGTGAGGATAATAAATTTTACTCTTTACGTGTCAAATGGGTGGAAAGGCTGTAATCTAAATAGTTTAAAGGAACACTTCATAAAAATACATATTTATATAATATTTTCTTATTGATGTGTTCCTTTAAGTGGCACTGCAATCACAATAGGATAATTTAATAATTTTAAGGTATAACTTTCCAAACCACCACTCCTAGAATATTCCTGGCCATGTTAACTCTCTGATGAAGTGCTGGTGAGGCACAAAATGTATATATAAAAGCAAAACTATTTTTTATCCAGAATGTTCAATTACATTTTTTTTTCTTGCTATACCCTGGCAATAGCAGGGGGGGCACTATTATTTGTGATCATGTGCAAGGATCATTAGCAATACACCTTTACTGAATGACCAAGGATGGAGTTGAAACTCAAAACTAGGTCCTCAAGCAGCTTTCAGTTACATCACATTCTTTAGGCCACAGGTATAGTTTATAAAGAACTTTTCACAGTGACAGCAATGCCTCACACAGAGCACCTCCGTGGATGATGGGTAGAGTCTAATGGAATGTTTTGCAGATTTTTAAAATTATATATTATATGGAAGAATAGGTCGACTAAGTTAAGTTTACAGTTGAACAATAGGTTGTTAAGTTATTGATATGAACACTGTCTAAAAAATGTTAAAGGGACACTAAAGTCACTATAATAACTTTAGCTTAATGAAGCAGTTTTGGTGTCTCACTGCTCAAAAACTGCAGTCTACTTGCTCAATTCTCTGCCAATTAGCAGTTGATTCACATTATTTATACAGCCCTAGGCAGATCTCCCTGCATGTGACTTGCACAGCCTTACTAAACACTTCCTGTAAAGAGTCCATAATGTTTACACTTCCTTTATTGCTAATTCTGTTTAATGAAGACTGTCTTATCTCCTGCTCTGTTACTAACTAGCTAGATCCTGCAGGAGCCTCCTGCATGCAATTAAAGTTCAATTTACAGAGTAGAAAATAAAAACTTCTAAAGTAACTTACATCTAATGAAACTATTTAGCTTTCAGGCAGGTTGTGTCAGTTACAGCCGCAGGGAAGTGTGGCTATGACTGCATAAACTGAAACAAAAGTGATTTAACTCCTAAATTGCAGAGAATTAAGCAGTGAAACTTCAGAACCATGATCTATACACAAAACCTGCCTCATTAAGCAAACGTTGTTTTGGTCACTATAGTCTCCCTTTAAGAACTGCAATGGTAAGAAAAGGAAAGCCATTATTTTCTGGTTGTTCCAGCGCTGGATACCACATCTGCTCACTTTATCTATAAAATGCCTACCTCAGGGAGAATGCACAAAACAATCATATTGTAAACTTATTATTGTACACTAGAAGACTGAGTAACTAAAGCAAAGCAGATCCAATGAGCATGTAATATGGCACAGATTGCATTCATAGGAACCCATTATTTTAGACAACCATGTATGAAATAAATAATTCCATTCATTAGTGTGTCATCAAAACTCAAGACAAAAGATAAAAGGCAACTTCCATGAATTGTGCAACTGCTCAACTCTTTTCTTGGTTATTTGGACCTGTTTTAAGATGGTACTTTTTATATTTCTCCATATTGAACATGTTGTTTGCTTCAGTCTGAATAATTAATACATGTAAAAAGTGATATATATATATATATATATATGTCTGTGTATAAAATCATAAAACAAGTAATGATGGACTGAAGATTGATAACCAGAGTAATCTGAATGAGCCTTTCCTGGTCAAATACTTTGTTATTATTATTATATGTAGAGTTAACTATTGGCTATCAGTGGTCTATGCTTCGTATGCTACCATACCTAAATTGTCTTGTCTGATTTGGAATTACAAAATGGGTGCAAATTACAAACTTTACCTATCCTCAAAATATGGGTGACTATAGGCTGTGTAGTGTTGATTTAATAAAAAAGAAAAAAAAAGAAATCAAATGGATATTTGCAGCTAGTAAGCTTGCTTTTATTTTTCAATTTTTGTTTTCTATTGCATTGCAAAAAGATGTTCGTCTCTAGATTGAAGTGCCCTTTTAAATGTTGGGACATTAATTGGGATTGATATAAATGTATTTTCCCTTCTATTGAGAGAAAAAGTTGTCACTTTGTGGTCTAAAAATACAACTATTTGCATAAATTTCCTGCTGCGATTTTAAAACCACAAAGACAGCAGCTAGCCAGCTTCAGTTCAGACTGTAAATAGCAGATTACTATGAGTGAATGTGTTATATTTACCTGTGATTATTATGCAAATAGACAT